GATGTTGAATTGAACTTTCAACATGTCCTATAACATTTTCTAAGGCTGTAGCAGGAGAAGGCAAGGCAAACTTTAATCCTTTATTGAGTAAACTAATTTCGGCATTATCAAAAACTTGAGATGACAGATTCTCTACAATGTGTTCGACTTTCTTAGGAAGTGGTTTGGAGAATATACCTAACTTACGTAACTTCTTTTTATGAATGTTCACCTTTTTATGAAATTTACAATCTATAGATAAAAACATCTTCCTTTGAAAATCGCTCCATTTTTTGAATTCTTTTTCACTTAAATTATAAGTTAAAGATTTAAATAAATTATACGCCTCTATTTCAAGTAGACTACGTTTTGAGTACAAGAAATCCAATTCTAAATCTAGCCACTTACGCTTAGCAAAAGTGGTTATTTTTTCAATAACTTTACAGTTCTTTGAAACTTTAATATTCATAAACTCTGGGAAAAGAGAGTTACGTTTACAGGTTTTTAAGAATTGGATATCTGCACCAATTAATCTAATCTTACAACTAAGTTTGTGATACCTGTTTAAATCCGATGACCGGGAAGCCATGACGAAATATGAAGATTGGAAAAACTTTGGCGGTTGTTGTAGAACAAACAGAATAGCTCAAAACCCCAACGCCAAAACAAGACACTGTAGTTGTCCGAAGCACTTTTCGGTAACAAAGTTACCTTCTTCAGGGACTGAAGTTTACTGTGTCTTGTTTTGGCGTTGGGGTTTTGAGTTATTCTGTTTGTTTTAAAAGAATTATTTGTAAATAGGTATGCAACACATCGTACACTTCAGCATAAGAAATTGCCAATACTAACTTTCATTTACGTAATACTAATTTTCCCTGTATTTTTTTTATATATAATATTTAATAAGCCCTAATGTAATACAGGAGACAATAATTAAATTACCTTGGACTCTACAGTATCCACTGAAGAAATCCTGCTCTTTCGTCTTGAAGACGAGGCATTAGCCAATATGGTCCTGTTGTGTCTTTTATTTCTCTGCTTGTCATTCTTCTCATCTCTAATGAACTGACGTCGCTTCAATTCTTTGTAAATAGCTTCGTCGAGAAAGTGGAGTTCCTTAATAGCCACCTCACCAAACAAATGACCGCACTGTATGATAATGTATCTCGGAAGTTCGTTGCCGCCCTTAAACTTCTCTACGACCATGCGTACCATTTTATAAATGAATTCTTCCCACAACTGTTCTGGTTTTGAGCACAGCTAAGAATACAATTATACAGAACAAGGTTCATAAAATCCAATTTAAAATATTTACCCTGTAAATTAATTCTGCAGCAGCTGAAATGACTGTTGGATAGAAAGGGTCCGCGTTGAAAAACGTTTTTTCGAGAATGGACATTAGATCCTTCCAAATAGGGTCCTCAGTCTTTATACGAAACGGTGGATTTTTATCAGTAATATTTTGTTTTTCCATGCCTTTAAAATAAGCAATATCACTATCACTATATAGCATAAAACAAAGTCGCTTCCCGCTGTCTGTCCCTATGTATGCTTAAAACTACGCAACGGATTTTAATGCGTTTTTTTTAATAGATATAGTGATTCAAGAGGAAGGTTTATATGTATAATACATGCATAATATAGTAAAGAAACACTGGTAATTTTAGAGGTTTCTAATGTGATGTTGCAAATAAACACATTTTTTTGCGCTTACATTGCAAACGCTGGCTAAACCCTACGAGATAGATCAAAATAATATACTACAGTATTGTACATCTTAAAAAGGTTTACAAAAAAGTCCGCGATGGTAAATGTCTATCTCTTAGGGATAACCCACAACAACCTTTTTTTATCCTTTACTTTTTATAAGAAATATTGGCTTATTTACGAAGGGATTTTAAGCAATACAGCATTAATCCTTATCCAATTAAGTACTTTAAAATACATTGTGCATTTAATATAGATCAATATGGCTCTTTACAGCATGTAATTTAAATGAATATTTTCGAAGATATTACAGATTTAAAATGCAGGGACATGCGGCTGTTTNACCTTTCTCGAAATCTAAATGTAAGTTATGTAAATTAGATTTAAGGTCTTTTATAAGATATGTATTTCAGTAGAATAAGGAACCTTGCCAATTTCACTAATAATATTGTACCAATAAATATTTATATTTAACATCATGTGTTATTTTTTAAACATCTAAACGACTATTAGAAAGACCAGTAGGTATATTAAATATAACAACATTACAATGAGGTACAGGAGAAGCATGCACTTATGAAAATGCATATTACTTGTCCTATTTTATATAAGGTACATTAAGGATATTCAACAGTAAAAACATGGAATAATTGCAATATTTTACTGTATAACACAATCTAAAGAATGGAAGTCAACAATTTAATGAGAATAAACATGTCTACCTTTCAAAATTCTTCGCATTAAAATTTTCTTGCCATTTTCATTGCTCATTCTTTTATTCCACCCATGTCTCTTAATTCTTTTTGATTCACTTGGTCTTGGAAAATGACACCGGATAATAGTACGAAAACTGGTATCAAAAATCCCACCCGGACTAACAACACTTCCCAAAGAATTTCCAAGATAATGGAAAGACTTTGGTATCAAGCAAGTAACATTGCTTTTACTAAAAAAGTAAATGTGTAGAGGTTCAATATGCAAATTACAACATATAGTACTTACTATATGGTAGTTAAAAATGAAGGAACTACTTTAAAAAGAGCCATTTCTTATAAAGAAGAGGAAATGCAGCACAAAAACTACAACAATAAACACAACAATAGATTAAGTTAGGTTAGAATAAGGCAAAATTATTTAAGGTTAGGATGCTAAAGAACCATAGATATATTGTAAGTGGCACACTTTAACTACAAAATATAAACAAAAAATAGTGTTATTTTTTATAAACTCTTTACTGAACAACTAAAATGAACCGTTATTTAAAATATAAATAAAATAGAATATCTTACAATAAGTTCGTTTTTTCAATTTTTTTCTAAAATAGTTCATATATCTTCATGTAGGCCAAATGAACCAAAATATTATTATAAGAGTAGTCTAACCTACAAAATATTTAAATTACAAAGTCTATGCTCACAAATGATTATAAAGAAAAATGAGCATGAAGAGGGCAAAAAGTCCTTATAAAAATAGTGACTTAGAGTCGAATAAAAAAAGGATCAAATCATCCAATCACAGTTTTCCATTGGAAAGGTACAAATATGAACTTAACAAATTTCTCCAAGATTATGGAGGAATATCAAAAACCGACGACTTTTGGAAATTTTTTGAAAAATATCAAGCCATTCAGTTATCAAAGAAAAGTTCAACAACATATTTTGACAAGACCCTGTTAATAAATCAATCGTTCGTTTCTAAAACCAGCAGGTTGTACGACAAAATACCTACATTAGATCGTCATGGTGAAAGAATGAATATTCCTTACAATACATTTAAAGACTTCCTACAAACGGTTCTTATATATCAAGACTTTCAACAGAAAACTAAAATGGCGAAATTAAAGAAACTTCGCCAATCGCAACGAGATCTGCCCATTGCCCAATTTAAGGATGAAATAATTTCGAGGCTGAAAGAGTCACGTATTTTACTCATTGCAGGTGATACAGGATGTGGAAAATCCACACAAGTACCCCAATACGTTTTGGAAGCGGGTTATAACAAGACAGTCTGCACTCAACCTAGACGTATAGCCTGCGTATCACTTGCCAAAAGAGTAGCTTATGAAACCCTCACAGATTTTAAAAGCACCGTGGGTTATCAGATAAGATTCGAAAAGAGCAAAAGAGCAGATACAGCCATTATCTTTATGACAGAGGGTCTTTTATTAAGGCAAGCGGCAGAAGAAGAAACAATAAATCAGTACGACGTTATTATATTGGACGAAATACATGAGAGACATCTGTATGGGGATTTTCTGATTGGAATAATGAAGTGCCTGGTACATAAAAAAGACAACTTCAAGTTGGTGCTAATGTCCGCAACGATTAATATCGATTTATTTTCAAATTATTTTAAAAATGAAAACATACAAATAGTTCAAGTACCCGGGCGATTATTTCCTATCGAAATTCAATATAAACCGATAAAGAAGGACCCTTACGAGCGNTTCCAAATTGAACCTATTGAAAAGCCGCTATGCCATTTTTCAACCTTTTCTCCGCTAAATATATTTTACTCAATTTCGTACGTAAGGAAGAATGATGATATTTAATTTACTCTTGAACCTTTCTAAATTAAAATTCTTTTGGCAGAGATAACTGACATTCTATTCCAAAAACGTAGGGAAAAAGTATTATAAAAAAGTGGGACTTACGAATAACATAGCTTTTTTTAGCAAACTTTGAAACTAAAATTCATTGTGAATTATCCTTATCCAATTAAGTACTTTTAAATACATTGTGCATTTAATATAGATCAATATGGCTCTTTACAGCATGTAATTTAAATGAATATTTTCGAAGATATTACAGATTTAAAATGCAGGGACATGCGGCTGTTTGTATTATCTAATCACAAAAAAGCTGTAAATGTTGTATATAAAGACATTCAGTAGTATATTAAGTATCAGTATTGCACCCTTGCGAGGCTGGGGCGGGTCGCTAGTATTACATAAAAAAATTAATGATTACGTTACAATTACTCACCAGCTATTGCCATTAGTCTACAAGCAGACGCCAAAAGTAAGAGATCCTTTTCGCCCCTCTCTGTAAAAGCGACCGTCGCGATCATTTTCAGATTCTTGCTTATAATAGTTTTTCGTCCCTTAGCAGCCATGGCAAGTAAGTCGATAGCAGCCCTGCTATCATCCTCCGACACGTCTCTCTGCTTCGTAAAACACTGCCAAAGGGCGTCAATCACACTGTTATCGAGAATGCCTTTCGAAGTCCATTCGGTCACAATTATACTAAAGTCATTTAAACTGTCGTAGGGTGTCGTCTTCAGAAGGTGAATGAGACGGTCTACTATAGTTGTAGTGTGTTCCCTTAAATTTACACACACGATGTTTCATAATCAAAAAAAGAAAGTAACAACAGGGAAGAAAAATGAAAAACGCAAAAAAAAAGAAAACTCACTTCATACTCTTGGTGTCGGTGGTCAAATATATCGTCTTGAAAGCATTTACCACGTATTCCTTCCGTTCTTGTTCATTTCTCTGCATTATTCTTAACATGGCTGTAAAAAAAAAGTAAATTATAACAAAAAAATAAATTGATTATTATATTTAGTGTACCCACCCAGTATTCCATCTAAAGCATTTTCTATTTTAAATTGAAAAGCTATGACAAAGAAATCAACAGCTTCCTGCATGTCGCCAATAGATGTCGACTCCAAAAGCTCTTTCATAGGTCGAATGGCTTTGTTGATCTGTTGCAAAAAACCGACGCAATTTGTCAAAAATTGTACGTGACTTTCTAGTTTTTCGAGGACTTTGAAATTAGTTTCTAAATCGACGAAGGTACCTCTAGAACCCTGCCCATAGAAAACCGTTTTCATTAACACGAGAAATAGGTTCCCTTCTTCTCTTTTGTCGAGATTTTTACTGAAAAATGGAACTGTAATATTGCATTATATACCAACAGAAAAATTGTTAGATTTTTACCTTGATTCTTTCCATTGATCAAGGTGTTTTACTGCAAGCCGACACATTTTGAAAGCTTCATCAAACTTTTCTTCTGTAATACATTGACGAATTAATGCTGGAATTCCGTCTTCAAGAGCTAAATTTTTTTCTTCGTCTTTTTCGTCGTTTTCCTCCTCTTTTTCTACATTTGTGAATAAAAATATTTTTAGAAAACTCCTCGGCCAGTTTCTCCGCATCAAATATAAAGAGTTCATAAATATAATTTTATACTGCAACTATATTTTACTCACGTTCTTCCTGAAGTTTTTCAGCAATAACTTCCTTGAGCTTTTCTACTTTTGCTGTCCATTCGTTATCGAGTTCTTGTAATTTATTCGTAGTGTTTTGACACATATTGCCCTTGCATCGGTCTAATTCATCCCGTTTTTGTTGTAATTCTTTCTCCATTTTACTTAGTTGCAACTAAAAACTTATTTATTACGTGGATAAATACAAACAATTTTTTATATCATCGCCAAATTTAAATTTCCTTTACCAACATAAAAACAAACAAACCGACTTGCCTCTGCTCCATAAATATTATGCGTTAAAAAAGTCGAAACGCAGTTGGCAGCACTCTTCCTGACGTTGGCCCCCTTGTCATACAGTCGTCCCACGATCTTCTCCAAGACGCTGTTCTGTACACTAAGAGGGATGGCGTTCTCCTTCTGCAACTTGGCCCAGTGCTGCACAACTTTCGTTCTCACGAAGCTCGAAGTGTCGAAGATGTGGTCCTCTAAAATCTCCAAGAGTTCATCCCGGGAGTCTTTCTCTTCTTCATTCAAGTTATCCTTACTCAACACCGTCAGCACCACCTCGGCGATCACACTAAGAACTGAATTCCTCAACGTATAAGACTACAATAAATTGCAACAATAAAATATTTATAACGTAAATGCCAGGTACGCGAAAAAATCATGCAAAATTACATTGTTATAAAAAATTATCAAAATAGACAGAGAAGAAATCATTAAGGGGTTTTGAGTTATTCNGACTCGCACTACTATTCATGATTGAACAAAACTTTTGGCAGGTACTGTATGAAAAAGTATGTTTAATGAACAAGAGTCGAGAGTATAATGAGCTTTTCTCTCTCTACCTACGATTTTGCCAACGCGCATCCAAGACATTGGAAGGGGAACATCGCTAGAGAAAGTAAGTGAAGTATACTATGTACTATAAATTATCGCTGGTGTTGGTTTTTTCTTTTTTCTCTAGTAGAATTATCTTACACTGCTGGATACCTGCTGTCATTATCCGATACCTAGCGGATCCGGCACTTTTTTTAGGATACGACCAGGTACGTGGTCGGTCTCTAGTATAAATAAAATATGAAGATTGGAAAAACTTTGGCGGTTGTTGTAGAACAAACAGAATAGCTCAAAACCCCAACGCCAAAACACGACACTGTAGTTGTCCACTACAGTGTCGTGTTTTGGCGTTGGGGTTTTGAGCTATTCTGTTTGTTCTACAACATTTACAATATGTATTTCAAAAACTGAACTATAGAGTCAAGTGAAAAGTGGAAATAATGTGTCATTTATGGATAGGTTTAATACATACACTTGAATGTTAGACAAAGAAACAGGAGTAAAGAAGGGCATAGGCAAACCTAGCTGTACTGAATAACAATAGACAATACCTGTGAGTCTTGGAATTTCTCATCAGTCTGCCATTCGGTAATTTCCCTAATAAAATTCCTGACTAATCCTTTACAGTTGTAATCATTTACTAAAAGTTGTATGCCTTCAGGAATGCAGAACATCAAGTGTTCGTGCATTTTTATCAACTGGGTAATGCGTACATTGAAAGTCATTCCATGATTGTACCTTTTTAGCAAAATTCCTATAGCATTAAATAATTCAGTGCGTAATTCTCGGTCACTTTTCAAAGTAGGGAATTCCAAAAAACGATAAAACACTTCACTAACCATACTACAACAGAAATTAAACCTGTATAATGAGATACTATTTATGTTAAATAAGAATTAGAAAGAACACTATTCAATTGCTTAAGACATACTTAATAAAAACCTCCTCAACAACTGGAGGATCCCATAAAAAACTTATTTCTCTATCCAAAATGTTATTGAGAGCTAAAACTACTCCTTTCTTGTTAACACCTTCATCTGCTGAAGAATCTGATCCTTTCTTCTTGCCCTTTGTCTAAACAAACATGTATTAATAATAATGAACTTAAAAAAAACATGTGTTACCTTGGATTGCAACATGTTTTGTCTTTTAATGTCTATCGTATGTTCAATTGTAATTACCAAATTAGTATAAGCATATAAAAGCATTTTAAGAATGTTTTGATACTTGGCTTTTATTTCATCATTCAAACTTTCTTTGTCTTCCAATATAAAGCCAATGTTTTTATTTAAGTCGGTTACAGCTAGAATAAATACAGAAGTACAAATACTTCAGAAAAAATACTCTTTCAAGCAAACCTTTGTGTAGATCTAAATAACCCATCATCATATTATCCATTGTGTGAGACTCTGGTCGAAGAAATATTGAAAAGTAAACATCAAAATTATCCAATATAAAATCAGGTCCCTCATCTCGTAAGCACTGTTTAGCAACTACAAATTACCAGCATTTAGAATAATGACTTTCTCAGCCTTTAACATTATTTTGTACCTTTTAATTTGGAATAAATTTCTTTTGGTCCAATAACGTCCCTCACAAAATATTGGTCGGATTCGTGAGACAACAAATCGTTTTTCGTTTGAGGTATGACAAAGTTAATATGAGCCATTTTCTCAAAAACATCAAATCAATTTGTTTCTTGAAGAGTTTCTGCCTACACTTCTATTAACACAAAATATATAAATAAAATTCACAAACACGAAAATCTAAGCATTTTTCTAACCAAGTCTTTAACGGAATTTCATTTGAATTTGTTGACATTTCAATGAGCCAATTAGGAGGCATCTAATATAGTGTCTCAATTACAGCACTTTCGTAAATTTTTAATAAGAAACAAGCAGTTATTTTACTTATTATTAATTATTTATATTATAAATGAAAATGCGATGTACAATATTGTTAGTGAAAAAGTAAATATATATTTACCTTAAAAGACTTTAACTATTTTCTAGGTATTATTGAGCCACCATTTGTTTTTTTTTTAGACAAACCATTTGTAAATACAATGGATGATGGTGTTGTGGCTAACTTAATTCAGTCGCTAACCTTTATCCGCTGTTTAGTGTAATTAATTGTGTGAAATATAGATTTTCGATTGAATTTAATGTATAATTAATGCAAGTTTCTATCATGGAATTTAATAATATCTGCAGTATTTGTTTACATAACGACTACACATTAATTCAATCCAAAGAAGTGGACACTAATAATGTTTCATGGTCTGAAAAATTAAAAGCAGTCATCCCTGAAATAGTAAGTTAATATATTTAATTTGAAGTTTGTAGTACAATTAACTATCTAATTGGACGATAATTACTTGTAAAATTGCAATAAATTTCTTGTGTAAGCTATAAAATTTTTATTGTTTTGATGAGTAGGTAGGTCAAAAAAAAAAGAACAGGTCGTCTTGACCAGATATTAAACTAATTANCCTTTCTGAGACATTTTAGTAGACGTTCTACTTGAACTATTTGCTTCGTTGTCATTTTTCTCATCGTTATCAAATGCAGAGTTAATTATTTCTTCAAGTTCGGTAGCCATTGCCTGTTATAAGTTTAAAAATCAACGCCTTTAATTATGTGAATTAAGCATTACATAAAATATAATTGTTTCTGAATTTTTAAACATATGCGTTAAACAGAGGGCCTCAGACAGAGTCATTATCTTTAAAATTGTACTCACCTTGATTTCATTTTTAGCACTCTTATTACATATGTTAATTATTTGCTTAAAGAAGGAGTAAACTTCATTGTCCTCCAAGAGCCTTTTGTATGTCTGAAAACTGTCAATGAGCTTGCGCAATCCGCGGTCCGTGTACTGTATGAGCGACAGACAATAAGCGACGTTTCGATAGATGTACGCCTCCTCCGTCAGACTCAATTTCAAACAGAATCGTTCAACTAAATTCTCCATGTGCTTATTCTTTTCTATGAGACTGAACAGGAATCTTTTTTTGTGGAAAAAGAACATAAAATTATTAATTAAATGCCCTGTATATTACAATTAATATACTATACTTCATTTGTTCACTTACTGCATAATGTGTCGTGTCTGTTCTTCCTCCAGCTCTTTGTCTTCGATCAAATGGGAGAATATATCTGGTAGGACATTATACAAATTGTTGGCCCGATGGGAAAGTAACGTAAAGAAATTTTTGCTCATGTCTTTCAGTAATTGGCTCTCGTCCACTAAGCACCTGGCCATTTTCGCTATGTGACCCTGTATACGAATCATATCCCGAAGTATTAAATTCGATAGGAGATAGAAAGTGTTATAGCGAACATCGAAATCGTTATCTTTCAGTCTGAAATAACATTAAGAATAATTAATTAACAAAATTGCGCACAACAGTGAAGAGCTATTTCAAACTAAGAAGAAAAAAAATAGGTAATTTAGGGACATATATTAAATACAGGGTGTCCATAAAAATACATCAAAGGAAACTGTAGATCTTGTAAAAAAATAACTTTTCTCTCACCTTTCATACATTCTAGGAGTCCAAGGTTCGACGATGTTCGGAAATCTTTCCAAAAGGTCACACAAGTGTATCATTATGTTAATTTTGACATGAGAATATTTAGTCTTTTCCAACATAGTGAACACGAGCTGCAAATTTTTTTCACAAAAGCAACTAGACACCAACATATACCTAAAAAGGAAGAAGGAATTTTTGAATGTCACTTTTCTTACGATTAGTTGCCATTACATACCGAAGTAACGCAACGCTAAAAGATCCCTGCAGCATGGGGCAGTCGTATATGTCAGGTCTTTCGCAAATCACTACGAGCAGAGGGGCAAATGTTTCGAGAAGTCCATGACCAGTTACTATGTCATTTTCTAAAACGTTCAGGATGAATTCTGCCTCTGCGTCGCCTGCTTGCACCCCTTCCAGCACACTTTCATCCATCTGCAATTGAATTTTAAGTTGCACTATTTCGTGAACGGTTTTTTATTTATTACATTTCATCTGGTGAGAGCCGGGTTTACAAAAACAGTTTATTAATTTAGTTTAGTATAACAAGATCTTCCCCCCTATCAGTCACTGTGAGCTCGAAACTGTTAGCACCATTGCTTCGAGTGGTCGAAATTCACTTTTGTGATCAATTTGTTTAATCACTGTCTTTGTGTTAAAAATTGTTTGAAAAATTAAATTTAAAAGAATTATGAAGATTGGAAAAACTTTGGCGGTTGTTGTAGAACAAACAGAATAGCTCAAAACCCCAACGCCAAAACAAGACACTGTAGTTGTCCGAAGCACTTTTCGGTAACAAAGTTACCTTCTTCAGGGACTGAAGTAAACTAAACCTAAATGAGAACTAATCCTAATTTATACTGATAGTTGTTAAGGTTCAGTGAACATGACCCGAAGCCAACAAGGTAGATGTTCAATGGACCTTAACATCATCATCATAAACGTAATTAAACTAAACTAAATAGCGGAGATCCAGGGAT